CCATCAGAAATAAACTACATAAACTGATTCTTGAGCAATGTTCTAGTTAAGACCTCTCAAACAACGAGCACATAAGAAGTCCAAGTGCTCAAATCGGCATGGAAGTTTCTTTGACCTATTCTGGAACAGATACTAGGTTCGCGCAAAAAATGTCTTTAGTAAACAGATTATGCTAAAACTGATTTTTCTCTAATGTCAAAGCACATACTAGGCACTAATTTCACAGCTGAGCTCACAAACCCGAGCTGGGAAACATTTCTATTGCTAGGAGGGGAGGGAGTTTGCCATTTTTTCAAATCATTCTTCCTAAGATTCTAAAGACGAAGAAATAGCAGCAAGTGCGGTTATGGATGTTACTATACTGCTATGTTACAAATGGGGAACTCGCACGCTCGAAGCAGTAAAATGCTCACAGATTTCGACTTCAATCTACGTGGTCGAGAACTTGTGTAGACTTTGGTAGTCATCTTGTAAAGTTCGCCTCAATCTATTGAATGATGTTACCTATCGTCGATTGGTTGACTGTACGGACTGGACATAACCCCGGAGCACGCGCCGCGAGGTAAAATGCTTGCTCCAATACAAACTCGCCATTGTTAAAATCGTGCTCTCGCAATATTTTAACCGCGCAGCGCGTGGTCCGCAGCGGTTGAGCAGTCCGTACGGCCAACGAATCGACGATACGTGTTTTTCTATTTACTTGCCTTAGAGTATAAGCTACGGATATTATTTTTGCGGCCTAATACATTCCCCTACTGCCATCAACCGTAAATCTTAAAGTAATTGCAGAAAATGGGCGTGAAAATGTAAAAGTGCATTACTGAGAATCTGTGGGGCAAAGATGAGAAAGCGCGCAAAAATATTGCTAGTTTACAATAGATTGCCTTTTATGCCAATGTTCCGCGCTTATTTTTTTGCAGTATTTTTCTCATGTACGACATGTAAGCAAAAACTACTACTGCTAGTTTTTTAATCTTGAAGGAAAAAAATACAGCGTGACTTTTATAGGATGGTAATTTTTTGTTCTCCTTCCGGGCAGCAAACTTTACACAAGCTCAAATCGACTTGACGGCAGCAGTTTTTCAGCGAAAATTGTCAGAATGGGAAAGTGACAAAACGAACTCTAAAAATTTACTGTTGCACCTCTTACGATGAAATTTCTACCTTAAAGACCCAGGTGTTCTCTCTTCATCGCCTTGCCCGCATCAGCAAAGTTTCATTATATGAACAACTGTGTTATAACTATAATTGCCTTTAATTGAGTTTCTACCTTCACTAATGGCAGTGATCTCTCGCTGGCGAATATACTTACCAAATCGGGTTGCATATTTTTCCCTATCATGTCTGCGCCGATAATTTCCTCATAACTGTGGTTGTTGATGACCTTTCTGATGAGTTTTTGATTTAAAATGAGTAGATTTACACTCAGAATGTCTTATTTTATGCTATATAAGCTTACGGATTGTTCCAATATCTATGCTGACAACGGCACAAATTTTTGTTTGAAGAAATTCATGTGCTTCGCAGAAACTTTCTGTCAGTTTTTGGCGCTGGAAAGCTAAAGATGGGAGCAGTAAAGGAAAATTGTCATGCTTCGACTTTCGAGGTCAGGTTGCAAAATTGTGAATGGTTACGATGAAGAACAGAGTTAATGATGGAAGGGTGACATGCTCTACCCTAAGAAATTTTTTTACCTGAATAGCGCCAGTGTTTGAGAAAAGTTCGCAAAAAAAGTAATTTGATTTTTTAATGCTTTTTTCATGCTTTTCTCTCAGACCGCCCCCACCCTATAGGGGCCGTCTGAGAGAAATTCGAAAAAAAAGACACTTTATACATTTTATATTCAGAAAGAGTAAAATTTTACTAATGAAATGCCCAAATTATCAGCTTACTCAAGATTGCTGATCCAATTCAAAAATCAAGCTTGATCAATTTTTTCTTCCTGTCTATCTCTGGTATCATATTCTACTGCAAATCTTCGCTCGGCAACAACGCATATGGTTTCCTGGATTCAAAAAAAGCAATGTCAAGAGTTGGTCTGTAAAGAGAAAAGTAAGAAAACTAGCGACAGACTTCTCTTTCCACCTAACACGCCATGGAACACGTGAGCGTCGGCATTCTTAAACTTTTTACAGAACTGAATGTGACATGCGCACTATTTTTGCCTAATCCCTACATTTATCGGTCGCTGACCTTAGATATCATGGGTCAGTCGACGGTTTCCAGTACTTATGGGTCTCGTCAATTTCCGATTTCATTTCTGGGAAAAAATTGCTTTTTAGAATGGTATATTTGTCTATTCTTTATAGTAGTTGTAATGCAGAAGGATCATCGTTTTTTCTCTGTCAGATTCTTTTCGAGCACGTCTTTGCTTCATTATTCATAGCCATTCATCGTAACAACAGATTATCCTTTTTTGTTCAAAAATACTTGGATCGTAACGCCGATCCATTTTTCGACCATGTTTGAACGCTTCGGCAATTTTCGTAATCGTTTTGTAGTATGAGCATTTGTTCTACTCTTGACATGCAAGCCGCTCACTAATCTTGATTTTTTCGCTCAAATTTGTTCACGCTTCATAAACTTCGGTGCTAGGAACCGGTTTAGGGTGATGTGTGATAATATGTATAAAGAACCTTATTGTTCTAACACTTATTGTTCATGAGCAATTTGGCGTATCTTTCAACTGCTTATTCCTCTGGAAAGCGTTATGCCTTGCATTCTCGTCTTGTATTCGAATATTCTTATTGTCTTTTCGCATTTCAAGTGGCTATGGTTTGATGATTATCCTTGATTATCCTAAGTCTTCAAATACCCCACTTTGCTGTACGCCCTAAAAAAGGTGCATTTTATTCAATCTGCTAGACGTGAAGAAGATCTTTTAATACACTCATATTTGTGTAGCTAAGTTTTTATGTGCAAACTAGTATAAATTGAATGCTTTGCGCAAGTTATTGTACAAGCAACAGCTTATACCCAAGGAATAGAAATTGAACTCCCAACTCTCGCCCGATACTGTAATCTTTCCGAGCGCAACAATCAGCGTTTTTGAAGCTGCTAGCCGAGAGAATGTGGGTTCTAGAATAAATTGATTATTATAGCTACTTGGGCAAAGTCTTACTCTTAGGCTTCCCAACTAGTACCCACATAGAAGTTTAGGTAAGTATTATTGCTGACATGTCTTCCTAAGCTTCCCATCTCAATAATGGAATGGTACTCTGTAATAACAGTACAATCTCAGTACATTTTTTTCGCACCGTCACAGACCTGCATTCAATCCTGAATCTACCGCAATTTATCAAATATATCTTTTTCCTTAAAATTTTCGTTCCACGTTCCTCTCTAAATCAAAAATTGGTGATTACTGTCAAAATATCAATTATTACTTTTTACTATTCTTTTACGACAAAGGCAGTCGAATCAGTTGCAAAATTTGGTCTAAATGAGCAGATTATTTTCTGTGAGACATACGAATATCTATAGGGACCTTTACAATTGGAAGGATCCCCGGAGAAGGAATACGATATGTGAACGTTGATAGCTTTCTTGCCTGTTTTGCTTTCTCTTTGTTACTGTAGGGTTACGGTCAGAACTTGCGGGTATTTTGCTGACACCGAAACCTCTGGCATATTGAGAAATCTCTGCTCCCTCTTCTTCCTCCTATTTTTACGAAATTTTACTTGCCTTCGCATACGCATTCTCTCAACTTTTATCATGAAGTATAGCCTGAATTTATGGAGTTCTTGGATTTTTCTTCTGTCTGAACTGGTTGATGAGTAAATGCTGTATACGCAAGGTTTGGTACAATTTTAAAGATTAGAGCTGCCTGCCAAAAACATATATGCGAACGCAGTGATGCGATAAAAAGCATAACTTTTTTCCTTCAAAACTTCTTAGAATTGGTAATCACATTAGGTTATGTGCATTCATTCAAGCAGACGTACAATCAGCAAGCTGATCATGCATGTATAATACTTACATGGATCGTAAACTAAATCCAATCAGGTGTTTTTTCAAATCACCACAATCGCCGGGCTATAAAAGATCGCATATGATTGATCTGTATTGATGGCAAGTGAGTTAGTCGAGAATTATGTGTGCTGGCACAAAAACTTCTATTTTCACCGGTTTAGAGCCAGGCACCAAATGTGCTTATAGTCTATTCGTATTCAGCCATAGATTTTGCTCGATTGCCACAATGATTTTGAGTGATCGCACTTCTTTATTTGTGATACTTCCAGCTAGTGGTTTCGGTCCTCCTCGAAAGTCTTTATTTTCGTACCAGTGTCTTTTTTAATACTGGAAACCCCAAATCCTAATCCTAGCAATTTGCCATCGAATATATGCTATCCATATATCTGAAAAATATCTCCAAAAAGTTTGAGCTCTGCCTTGGGTAAGGGATACTTTGAGTAAAGTTTGCTGTTTAGTTTTTCAAATAGCGCAAAAATCTTCAAATATTAGGGCCAGTCAGGAGAAGCTTTACAGTCATAAAATTTTACATCTCTGATCTCATCAAGTAAAGAGTAAAGATTACTCCATCGAATAGTTTGCGCAGCACTGGCATTCTCAAAGACTTTTTTAGACACTGGCATTAGCCTAGTCCTTGAAATTTTTGCGATTTCGAGCACTGTCAACGATAGTCCCCAAGAAATGCTTCACAAAGCTGTGAAAAAATTCTTGTACTTAATGAGTTTCACCATAAAATGTAAGCTACAGATTGTCCGGCTACAGATCAGCAAAGGACCCGATTTACGACAGCCCCCCTCCCCCACCTGACTATCCTCTCCCCTCTCCGTCTAAAAACGGTTCATATGAAAAATTTGCCTGCTTATTCCATTTTGCTCAGCTCTGCTGCTGTGCTGAAAAATAGCATTTTATCTTCCATAACCTTTATTTCTCAAATTTTTCTAACAATTTAATCTGCATTTCTAAGCTTTCCTTCGCCATTACATCGCTCAGTGCGTTTGAAACTAAAAATTTGATACATCTTTTCCAGGATGATCAAATTCAGCATTCTAGTAGCGGTATGTTCCACAATCTCAGCACGCACACATCGAGTCCAGCATGATGTCTACTGGAATTCATCGAATCCTGTGTGAGTATAGGTATCCTCTTTTCCAAATCAAAGGCTCAGTGCTTATAAACTAGAGATTACCTTTGAAAAGAAACTGAAATTTCTTTGTTTTACGAAGCTATCTCTTCCTTGGGTGTACAAAACAATGGAGCTTGTCTATTACAACACACTCCTTCGTACGAATGCTTTTTTTCATCAATCAGGAGAAAAATGTCGCGTAGAAGAAAATTTGGAGAATTACAAAATTAATTACGGATAGAATTCCATTTGATTCCTTTATTTGATTCCTTCCATTTTACATTGTTTTAGCGTCTTCTTTTTCGGACTTAATTCAAAAAAATTTTATTTGTTTTATTTATATTACTTTCGAAATTCTTCTTTATTATATGGTAGTTTCAGATTTGAACCTTTCGACAATGCAATCGACTCTCCTGGTTACTACGAATTACCTGCTAGGCCTCTAGATATTATAAAATTCCACTGTCCACGGAGGAAAGCTAGGGAATTTAGTCTTATCTATAAGGTGAGAATCTTGGGTAACTGAACTCGGAAAAACTCAAAGACTATACAGGTTTCCTGATAGAGTAAGCGTTTAAGATTGCCGAAATTGACAAGTATGGATGAGAATTTGTGCAAACAACAACTGAATTTTTTTGGGTAGAGACTGTTTCTAGAGTTATTCCTTATTGCAAACAGTTACGAAACAGCCATTAATAAATTAAGATCTCAAAACATTGTTGTGAAACTTCAGGTTTCCTTCGAGGAATTTCAGCGATGTTCGTTGAGTCCCAGTGCAGCTCTAGTAGTTTCTTGCGATGGTGAGCATCATAGTGGTCGCTACACTTTGCAATCAGACGAAGCAGAGAACGGGCAGGTCTACTTTATAAGTGAGTACTCGTAAATTTAGATATTCTTTCAGATATATGTGATATACCATAAACAGTATGGGAGTAGGGTTTGTGAGAGAAAACACAATATTTGATATAATATCGCTTAGTGTTATTGAATAAATTTCCACACGCCGGTTTGGGAGTTGGAAGTATACCGGTAGTGTGGTCTTGCCGGTCCCATCAGTACTTCGCAAGCGTAAAAGAGACATACTAAAGCTTACGATTAGGGTTCTGGGGTCACGTGGATAGTAATTTTGGGGCCCTAACTATGCCACAGCCCAACCGACAGCTCAGGTACTGCTCTATTCCCCTCGAAAATGGACCCAGGATCGTATTTCGCATAAAATCGTGACGCAATCCATCAGTTTCGCGTGTGCCCTCGCGCGAAACTGATGGGTTGCGCCATGAATCCATGCTAAATACTACCCTGGGATCCTGTTTGGAGGCGTATATCTCAACCGTTAGTGAATCACTGCGCTGCCGCTTGGACAGTGCCTTAGTTAGGGCCCCAAAATTAGTTTCCACGTAAAATCCTCACAGGTCCAAATTTGCCTGGACGCCTTTGAGAAGGCAAAGAGAAATGGAGAAACAAAGAAAGACTGAGGTGAAAGGTGGACCAAACGCAGTGATAATGAGTGGCAGCTACTTCGTGCTGAGGTCTTTTATGTAGATCTCAGTTGTCTCCCGCCCAGATATAGCGCGTTGACTTACTAGGTCGCACGTAAGCCATGCTAACTACTCTGGGTAAGGTTATAACCAGGGTGAAGCGTGCTGATGCGTTCCGAGACCCTCATTTACGACCCCCTCCCCCTATAAAGGTACCCATCCGTACGACCCCGCCCCTCCTCCACTTCCTTCTGCAGTAACCTGCATAAACGAATGTCAATCTCAAAAGATGTCTGCCAATGGAGCTCAATCAAAATAATAGATCAGAGAAAGACAACTACTTAAAAATTAGGAGATAATGCAGGTGGTGCTTCACCACTCAAAAAACAAATAATTCTACGTAGATTGGGTAAGTAGTAAAATTTACAAATTGGCTATGCTCATCGTGTTTCTGAGAATATGAATGGAAAGGACATCATCTGACAAAGCAGAACATCGAACTTGATTTGAATGGTATTTAAGCTGTACTCTACCTATAAAAAATGAAATAAAATAACAACCAAGATAATTTCAGCATTACGGAATGGTTCACTTCAGTTATTATAATTGACTATTTTATAATAACTCCTTTTCTAGTGAAGGTTAGTACTTTTCTGCTGTTTATGAATGTTCGGCATAACCATTTCGTGGTCTAGTGGTACCGAAAGATATAGATTATGGTTCTGGAAATTAGAACGTTTTAGACTTTAATGACAGTCCCGTGTTCTATCCCCGTACGCGACAATATTTTTTTGCAGGGAGAACAAACGATATCTTTTCGAAGCGTAAAATATGTTTTCGACTAGCTTATTTCCTACCTTCTGCACACATTTTCCTGTGAAAAAACCGTTTTGCGCCATCCAGAATGGTAAAAAACGTGCATGAGGCTCTCGCCAGAGTGCCGAAGCCATGCCAGCGCTACGCCAGCGCCGAGCCAGCGTTTCGATCGATACACGTGCATTTCGTTGGGGCGGTGCCCTGGCTGAGAACTAGGTCAGCTAGCCCCGTCCCAACGAAATACACGTGTATCGATAGAAACGCTGGCTCGGCGCTGGCGTAGCGCTGGCATGGCTTCGGCACTCTGGCGGGAGCCTGAGCACGGTACTTTAAAAATTCGTAACTGAAGTCAGGAAAAGATTAAAAGGCTCCAGTAAACAGGTTTCGTAGCATAGTCTCCAGACAACTGAAGGTAAAAGTTGCAGCCACACAGGAGCAGTAAGCTCGAAAAAATTTAGATGCAACTCTAGCAATTTTAGATGCGATCCTAGAAGCCAAAAACTGGGCTTTTTGAGCTCAAAATTCCTTAACTCACTGGAGACACAAGTAGGATTGAAAGTAGGAGGAGGGCGTCGTAGTATAGCACTGCAGTGAGCAGGCTTCCATAGCGGCGAAAACATTTAGATGCGCCCCAGATACGACCCTCCCCCCCTTTCCATTTTTTGTTGCCATATGTCGCGGCTCGCGATGCAAGCCACTCCTCAAAACAGGAGGCCGGGAGCGCTGGCTATCGCGTTACTTGGCGCGCTTTCAAGATCGCGCCAAGACCTCTCCTGCTGGGCGCGTTGCCAAGTCACAGGGTATATAAGGGCGCGCAGGCCGCGGTCTACGCCTCTTCGAGTTTCGTTCGTATTGATTGTTTTATGAGATCGTTCGTGCTGGCAGTGCCTCCAGCAGCTCCCGCAGATAATCATCGGTTTCGAGCAGTTGAGCTTTTGTCATCGTCTTGGTTTTGGAGGCGCGCAGCTAACATCATGGTTTGTCCTGCGTAGGAAGCACACTAGCGGGAGTGGAGAGGGGTCACACCGTCCCGGAAGGGCTAGGGGCTTGCGGTTGACCCAGCGGAGAGCCCGGAACTACTTGTTGAAGTCGATCACCATTAGCATCGGCAGCACGGGAAGAGGCGGCTCGTCCCGTGTTTAGTTTTCTTGGAATTTGAAGTAGTATTTTTAGTAATTTTAGTAGTTTTAGTAGTTTTCGTAGTATTAGTGTTATTTTTTTGTATTTTGTAGATAAATGTAGTCTGAACTAGTCGGTCCTTCTGTTTCTCAGCGTTACGCGCTATTTTACCATGCCGTTTATACCTGTAGAGGGTAGTCCTCGGCAGCGCCCGTCAAGGCGTCATGAACCTTGGTGGACGCGCGACATCGTAGGGGACAAACGGGAGTTAGGTGTAGCTGCGGCGAGCACTTTAGGCAAGGTGCTGATCACACCGAGCCGCCACACCATATATAAATTTCAAAAAATCCACAGGCTATGAAATATAACCAGATTTTGTACAACTTTCGCGGAGAATCTCCAGAGTACAGGTACATTGTATGGACCCTTGAAATACATAACAAAAAGGTTTCAAAATTATCGATTGTCATCGCTGGCAGAGATGAGCGCTTTTGTCGACAGTGTGAGACTTCAGTGATGCTTCAGAACAGGATTTCAGTATGAAGGATCACCACCTCCACAACTTGCAACAACCTATTATCTTCTCGGTTACAAAGTTCCATTACAACACTTCTTATTAATCAAGTATTCTCGAGTAACTACTCTTCCTATTAGCCTCATGCGGTGGGAGTATATCCACCATGCAATCCTGAGTTAGATAGTGTATCTCAGGGACGTTTTGCTGGCAGTAATGGGGGCATGGGTACCATCTCCATGATCACATCTTTATGACAATTGTAGTCCAGAGCAGTCACATGCAAGCTCTATCAAACATACTTCTTAACCAATTTAAAGGTATGGACCCAACGGCACGGTGGACCTTGACTGGGGTTGTTCGATTTACTGTGTGTGTATTTTTTTTCCTCTTGTTTTTTTTGTAAGGAACGCCATAGAGCGTATGAATAAATAAATAAATAAATAAATAATTTCTAGGATGGTACATCTAACATTCTCGTCACACATACATGCCTAGTGTTTGAGCTTCTGAAAGTATCTTTGGAATTTCCGGTCATGCTTGTGGCCAGCAAGTTCAATCCCCTTCTGCGACACCTTTTTTGCAGGGAGAAAAATGCTGTTTTTTTTTGAAGAGTAGAGAATGTTTGCGACTGAGAAGCTTATTTCCTACATTCCACACTTTTTTAATTCGGACCACCCTCTCTTACGACCCCCCCCCCCCCCACCACCGGTGCCCCCTTTATGACCCCCCGTTGGGACAGTCGCATCACACGCTTGACTCTGGTTATAACTGGTAAGGGATTACAATAATAACCTACTGTAATAATCTATGAATATCTGGTAGTTTCTCCGTTTTACATTGCTTCGGTATTCATATGTATAAATTAGAAATGAACTGTGTCAACAATATCTCAGAGAGCTAGGCAAGGTCACACCCTCATTTTCAATTTTCTATTACTTGTTTCCTTTATTTATTGATTAATTAGGCAAATTCATAGAAAATTTTGATATGCTGTTCTTCTGACCGAAATTTTTGAAATCACTAGAGATTGTAAACTTAGCGCAAGTTTGGTATTTTAGAAGTTTGGTATTTTAGAAGTTTGGTATTTCAGCCACATCATTTGGTGACAAGGAAGGCCTGTACAATCGGCGCCTTGGCCTGTGCAATGAGAAAAACATGCGAATGGCTGTAAACTTCGATGGAAAAGAGTTGGTCAGCAATATTTTTTTGTTGTTTTCAAAAGCTAAAAATATAAAAATCACCGCTACGATTTGCAAGTGATCGTAATACCAAAGACTCACATCCTTGGAACAAAGTATGAGAAGGAAAATAAGCTGCACTCTTGATTATAAAACTGCACGCAGTAAACTCTCAACCTACCAGTTTTAGGCAATATAGGTGGAACTGTTTATCAGACTATTCGAGAAATAATTTCCAGATTCTACGACAAGATCCGGTGCTTGGTTCTGACATCGATCTCCAGCGTCTCCTGAAGGATCGCTTTTACTTAGCTGAGGAGAATGGTGAACTAAATTGGAAGAAAAATGTCCTACCAGATGTTGGTCAGTATGTTTGGTAAAAAAACGATCTACGATTTGTAAACGATGTTGCAGAATTCGACTGGAAGACGTATCTACAAAATCACGATCGAAAAATGAAATTTGACAAATCGTTGCAAATCGAACCGATTCCGCTTGATGACGAATTCGTTACTCGATGGGAGGAATTAAGGGTGAGTGTGTTTTTAAATGTTTCTAAGGCGATACATACGATTTGATGTTCTGCTTGGTCCTCGTGTTATGAGTACTTGAAAGCTCTGAAATGTTGATATAGCACACTAATGTATTAACAAAATACGCATAAAAGAATTCGCTCCTGAAATTCTTATCTAATATAAAGACACTCAAATGAACTGATTGAAGTATGCCTTACAGTAAAACTCTAGTTTTTAGAAGGTAAGAAAGAACCAAACCTCTCAATAATGCACACAACTTCACTTCAGTCTACAATATAAAATCTTTGAAACTCCTTGTGCACGCAGAGTTCTCGCAATCGCAGTTATTTTCTTATATAAGTGGTCCTCATTTCTACAGTTTGTTTGTGTATTTAAACGCCTAGTTCAGTTTGCCCAAGCAATTCATTAAATAATTACAATCTAATTAAAAGAAGCTTGGCTAAGTTCGTGCATTTGCTGCAGCAGAAGTTGCGCGCTCGCTTGACACCGAACGAGCGATGAAGCGTGAGCAACGTTTGCAGTTACTGCGCTATAGTACTTGTGGCGGCTCGGTGTGTCCCCTACGATGGTGTTGCGCATCCATTAAGTCCGTTCTGACGCCTTAGCGTCCGCTGCCGTGGACTGCTCCTATCCGCAAGAGATATTTGATAGCGCATGAACGCTAAAATAAGAAGAGCCGACTAGATAAGTTACGATTTATCTTCAAACACAAGAACTACACTACATCCTAAAATACTAATCATGTGAAAGAAGAAACACGGTCGGTCGCATCGCCCCATGCTACCGGTGGCCCTTTTAGACTTGTCTTGAAGATGAACTTTCCGAGGCCTCACCTAACAGATCCGTCGCCAGTCGCCCGAAGAAAACGGTGCAACCCTCTCCGCTCCCATAATTCCAGTTTAACAACAACTCCAAAAGGGGTTGCCTTCCATCCTGCGCGTCCTGCGCCCAAACTATTCCAAAATCTTGTGCAACCGCTTCTACCGCTTGATCAACAACAAAAACACATCCAATGCGGAAGCTCAAGGCACGATGATGCAGTATTGAAATCACGGACAAAAGCAACCAATAAAGGCGAAAGTGAGCAGGCGAGCAAATGATGCGCCGCCGCCTTATATAGGCGTTTTGTTGGCTGCGTGCCAGCAAGGAGAGATCGATTGCGAAGCTAAGACGCCACCACCGTAATCGCGATTGGATGTGCGAATCAACCTTTGCTCCCAGGTTCCTACTTCGCGGAGCGCGTGCACGGCTAGCCGCGACAGTGCCCTTTGATTCCACTGGCTTGGCGGCTGGAAGGCGGAGCTTCGTGTGTGCGAAATAGAAATTTTTATTTCTAGACCGATTTGGACCAAACTTGGCACACATACACTTCGGGGCAGGTAGCGTGTCAGGCTACTTTTCGTCATCGATCCATATCGATTTTATGGATTTTTATCGATTTTTCTGCAGAGTTCACCTACGGGCCTGGGAGTTGGCACAGGGGGTAATCGAGCATGCTGATTGAGAATACAATATTAGTTTTTGGTATCACCTATTACTTTTATCGATTTTATCGAATTTTTTCCAAAATTTGAGCAGAAGGGCTGGGAGTTGGTGCAGGGGGTAAGTGGGCATGCTAATTTCGAAAACAACTCAGGGAACGCGAAATGAAGTGTAGAAGTAGGCACAGGGAAAGGCTGTACAAGAATAGGGATGGGACCTTTTTTACAGTGTTTTGACAGGGCCGAGCGGAGCCGGGTAAGCAAGCTCTTTTATACAAATGCTTATGAGTTGGGGTTTATCGAAAATTCATGACATTCATATTCTATCTGTCCTATTAAAAAATGTTTAGCGCTGGATATTAGATACTCAGCCCAAGTTTGCACTTTTCATTGAGTTTGAAGAAAGATAGATAATTTGGAGGTGATTATTCGCCGGGGGTCTTCCAAGGCATCATCCGCACAGACAATGCTCAGCTTATTTATTTATTTATTTTATTTTATTTATATATACACTCATGGTGTACCAATAAGAAGACAGAAATAGAACAAAAAAATCTGGGCACAAAAGAAAAGACAAAAGACCAACCAATCCTCAGTCACAGAAGGAAGTGGAGTTATGCAAAAAAGATCGAAGACAGATACCGAAGCCCCTGCCATACTGAAGATAGACATTAGCTTATAGAGACCAGCAAAGCGAAGGAAAAAGTGCTTTGTCCAATTTCCTAGAATCTTGCTTTCTCTAAAATTTATTAAGACCCTATTTTTGGGCGTCAGCGAGCCCCCCGGTAAAAGCTAGCTGACTTGACCCCGAAGAACACGTGCTACAGGCGAGAGCAAGATTCGAAAGGAAAGTGGTAGAAATAAACATGAGCAATTGAATTATGAGCGATTGATATCTGACCAAGATGGGGGGACTGGGTTACGCTGAAAGAATAGTTTCAACTCTAACAGATGAAAGAAGCTGGTTGATCTAATCAGCATACGTCTACAAGCTTGTTAGTAACATCACAAAACAACAGAAAATTATCTAGTAAAATCAGCCTCATTGATATCAAGAACACTCGGCGCGACTGCAGCGAAGTGCAAAACAGTAAAAGTGTGAAGGAGTCTCCTGTAAAAAGGAAGAACAGCACAAGAAGTCTCCGTAATCAACAAGAATCATTCACTTGCATGAGATCGACACTCCTAAGGCTACGCTTAAAAGAAGATACGTTTTGAGCAGAGAGCACATGAGGAGGTAATCGGTCAAGCCACCTGGACGTTCTATAAAAGAAACTATTAAAAACACGCAAAAAACGCTTTCTGTTGATACGAGGATAATGAATGTTGAACATACCTGCTCTAGCAGTAGGTCTAAATATCCAGTAATTACTTGCATTCAGCCTGAGTTCTTTCCGCAAGAGTCGAAAGGCAAAAACAAGATCGTGATACATACGTCTGTGTTCTAAGGTTTTCATTGCCAAATGTTTCAAACGACTTTCATACCTTGGCATTTCGGAGTAACTTATGCTTTTGCGGCATCTTAGAAACAAAATACGAGTGAATGTCTGCTGGACTTTTTCTAGTTTTGATATGTTCTTTTTCAAAAAAGGATTCCAAACTATAGAGCAGTATTCTAAATGAGGTAGCACATAGGACTTATAAAGCTGTTTCAAAACAGAGGGGTTATCTATGTGTATAGTCCGAAGGATTGTGAATAAAGTCGAGTACGCTTTGCTTACCACCTTGTCTATGTGATTAGAGAAACAGAGGTCAGCATCAACCAGAATGCCTAAATCTTTAGCAACGGAACAGCTTTTCAGCGTCTTCCCATTTATCTCATAAATCGGACTTTCCTGATCACCAAAATGCATGATAAGGCATTTATCCAAATTGAGAGGAATACCAGAAGCAACTGCCCAGCGCATCAAAATTTCCAATGAGTTCGTTATCGCTGTGCGGACCTCAGTACGATTCTGTTCACTGTAGCATCCGTAAATCTTGATGTCATCCGCGTACATTTGTACATGAACATGAGCGGATGTGATCAAGATTGACGGAAACTCGGCGGTATATATCAAGAAAAGTAATGGAGAAAGGACGCCACCTTGTGGAACACCACTCACGCATGCATGTCGATCCGAGAAGTGATATCCCACTCTGACCGTCATGCCTCTGTTACTCAAGTAGGATCTAACAAGGAGAGGATACTTAGTTGAAAGCACCAATCCAGATGAGACATATATCATCTTAAAGGCTTGAAACGCTGATTCCAAATCTGCAGTTTTTAGCTGCGTAGCGGTTTTGTAAAGGGAGTTATGAGGGGTGTTTCCTCTGGGGCTGAGGCGCCCTCCACCAGGTCTCCCCCTATCTATGAGCACTGTAGAGGAGTACCAACTAATGGCAACTTTCCTAGTGGTAAGTGACGTGCTTCATAAAGAGAGTGTCAAGGTTTTAATCCCCTTCGCATGCTAAATTGAACTTCCAAGTGGCTTTAGAGCCCTGAAGCATGAAACTTCTGATGATATTGATAATAATCGAAGTTAGAAGTGTTTAAAAAACCAAAGTAATATGAGTATTATAGTCTTTACTGTAATCTTCATTCAATTTACTTACCATTAGGTCAGTTGCCATCAGCTGATACTCCTCTACAGTGCTTACAGATAAGGGGAGACCGCTGGAGGGCGCCTAAACCTCAGAGGGGAACACCCTTCATAACTCCTTCTACAAAACCGCTCCGCAGCTAGAAACTGCAGGTTTGGAATCAGCGTTTCAAGCGCTTTAATATGATATATGTCTTATCTGGATTGGTGCTTTCGACTAAGTATCCTCTCCTTGTAAGCCACTTCAAAAGATTACCTCCTAATCCAAGTCGCTCTAGCTTTTGTAAAAGTATTGCGTGATCGACCTTATCAAATGCCTTGGACAGGTCCACATAAATAACATCCACTGCCTTGGACAGGTCCACATAGATAACATCCACAAACTTACCTCTGTTGAGTGCTAAATTCCAGTCGTAAGTAGAATCAACAAGGTTTGTGGCAGTTGATGAGCCTGCCATAAAGCCGTGCTGATTAGATGGGATCGCTTTGATTTTAGCAAGCCATGAAAGTAGTCTATCGCGCAAAATATTTTCCATAACTTCTACAGCAGTTGGTATCAAGCTAATGGGGCGAAAGTCTGCTAGTTGAAGGGCGTTAGGCACTTTTGGAATTGCGGTAATCAGTGACTCTTTCCAAATCTGCGGTACCTCACCCAACAATATGGATATATTGAAAATGTGGGCAAGAGGTGTACACAGAGATGAGGCACATTTTTTTTACACAATCTGTGGGATTCCATCATATGTCTCAGAGCAAGAAGGCCTCAGTTTGTTCAAAACTCTAAGGATCTCGGAGGCACGGAAGCAGCTATCTGACAGATGGCGAGTGGAAGCGAAAGGCGGCATGCCACTTTCTAAGCTATTGCTACGATCAACAGGATTGAAGACATTAGCGAAATAGGACGCTAATGCGTGTGCTTTTTCATCGTCAGTTACACATGGATGTCCATTCTGGTCAATTACGGTAGGAAGACATCGGCTGGGCTTCAATTTTTGATTGATGTAATGGAAAAAGGACTTGGAGGAAGCTTTCGCAGCAAGTCTTTGCTCGTAGTTATTCAAGAACTTCTTCAAATGAAAATCAAGATCTTTGCACACTTTTCTATAAAGGGGATTAGACAGTGGTTCACTCAGAATACTGAATAAGCGTTCTTTCTGTGCCAGCAAATTCTGCACGTGTTTAGGATAGGCAAAATGGCGATGAAACATCGCTCTGAATGGCACATATCTGGAGAAACCATCATACATAACCAAACAAAATCTGTAATACACATCATCAACTGATTCGTAATGATCAAACAAATTCAGCCAGTCTATAGAGCTAAGATAGCTGTTAAGAGAAACGAAATCAGCCCTGCGAAAGTCAGGAGTGGGCAAAAATACTGGAAGTGAAACTGGCCAGGTCGCCAAGAAAAATACGGTCCGATGACCAGAGGTTGCAAAGGGAGGCATGATACGTGTGTCCGAAACGGTAGAAGAGGTCGAGAACACGAGATCGAGCACATTTGAGCCATGAGTAGCAACTTCAACATGCTGCTTGAAACCTGCATTGCGAAAGAATTCAAGAAACATAGTTGAAGTTCTGTCAAGAGCCAAGAGCTTGGACCAATCAATATGCAAATTAAAGTCTCCCAAAACAATCGTGTCTTCGTGTTCACTAACGAGGTGACACAGTAGTTCAATAAGGTGTTCATCACTGGAGATCGTGCTATTAGGCGGCCGATAGGTTGCAAGAAATCGCAAACAGGTAGGCTTCTGAGGAGACGATATGTCAACGCAAAGAACATTCGACACAGTACTAGTATCGGAAAAACATGACCTCACTAAAATGGTGCTTTTGGCTATACAGCAAATACCCCCGCCTTGCGCCTTTACGATTACATCTATCAGTGCGTAGCACATGATATGGTAAGTCTCCTACAATTTCACTCTCACGTATTTTGTCAGTCAGCCAAGTTTCTGTCACGAAAAGAATATCTGGTTTATTTTGAATCAAGAAAGAGTGCAGGTGGTGTAATTTGTTCATTAGGCTCCTTGCATTGAAAAGAAACACTTCAATTTTTTCTCTCGTGCCATGCAATGTTATGGGTTTCCCGGCCTCGACCTAGGTAGCTCGGACACAAGTGCCAGCTGTCCCCTATAGACTACCCACTCACGACTGGGCTTACCCTCGTTTCTCTGGCGAGCGATCTGTCGAAGCTCGTACTCACGCTTTCGCTCCTCCTCCGTCATGCTTCGCCTTATGAAGACGTTTGGATACGCATGACGGAGGAGGCGCGCATTGGAAAGGGCCCTCTTCCAGTAAAAGGAAGAAGGCATCACGACTTTGATTAGTCGTGGGCGTGAGTCATTGGGCCTACCCATCCAAAAAGCCTCCGAATGGCTGCAATCAACATCAACAGCATCGAGAATATCCCCGACCTTTTCCTGGAGATATTCTCGACGTTGCGATGGACGCAAGCCATCCGGAGGCTCAGGCACCCCGCTTATAACAAGGCTCCGCGCTCGCTTTTCCGCTTCTATGACCTCCGAGAAACCCGCAGATATCTTTTCGGACAGAGCCGAAAGCATCTTACCAATGGTAGGATCTTTATTGAGGTCTGATATCGACGCAATTAGCTCTTGAATGGTCATGGTGCTAAAATCGCCTTCCCCATTGCTCAGATTTCTCACATTTGTATCTTCCTGGGAAACTGGAAGACTCTGCGAGTTTCCTTTCTGATTTTGTACTTTTTGAGAACGAGATTTAGGCGCCATAGCTTTTGATCTACCGTAGTTCGATACTCAAAGAAGGATCCAGACAGCCTTCAAATCACACAGGTGGAAAAAAACCTGAGCAGGGAAATACGATTAACAAAAGACCATGCAAAAGCGGTAAGAGCAAGTATAGAGAACGATTGTGCTCAAAAAAAAGTACAGGAGTATGATATACAAGTCAAATCAAAATTAGAAAAGGAGCCAAAAAAAACCAGGAGCCAAAAAAAACATATAAAACTTATATGGCAATGCGATGTCATTCACTAAGGTATGAGGGTTGGAGGACCTCTGGAACATGAGTAGGATGAGAGATGCGAGTTTATAATGGGATCTGGAGGTCCACTCACATTTTTCCCTCCTTTTTAGAAGGAAAGAACTCAAGGTCACTTTGGTCTTCTCACATGAGATATGTATGGAAATATTTTTCGCGGAATCTAAGTCTACGTATGTTCGTATCTTCAGAGCGATTGTTTGGAAGAGTCATGAACATTGAACTTCGTATGAACCAATTAAAATAATAGTGCTGGCCAAGCCCGCTTTATACTACGGAGCAATATGAGTGATGATCTGTCATTGTGTCAGATCACAAACGACTTCAATTTCCAAAGTGCATTGAAATTTCCTATTGGCCATTTTGACATTCTGCAACAGTGCAGCCGTCACAAAAAAAAACCTACATTACATAACTTTTTCAATAAAATTGCATCGCACACACTGAACACAGATTTATAATCAGCGATCTGAGACGAGTATTTTCTTCACTTCCTGTAAAAAAGCCATGCTGGCCCTTGTCTTGGTAGCATTCTCGACTGCCGAAGACTAGGAAGCACATCATTTTTTCCCTCAAATTAGAACAAATGAATCTGTTGAAACTGATGAGTGTGCACGTAAGATTGATTGCAAGACTTATTTTCCAACCTAATACCTACATCCATGGATTCAAATTGCAGAATCACCGAATAGAGAATGAGCTTGGATTCTTGGTACAATCCGAGACTATTGTTGGAAAAGCTGCTTCAACCTTTTGTAAGCTGATTTTGTCTTTTTTGGCTTTAGAATGTTTGAATTGATGGTCCTGCTTTACTCTAGGTACCTCCGTTACGATAATCGTCGTTGCCGCTTTCATTACTATGCATTGGATGCGATAAGTGCTTCTTACAGCAATTAATTGTTCACTTGTTGTTTTCCCTCACTGGCTGATGCTTCATTGTACGTATTTTTGCGTACCTTTTTTGTTGGTCCTATCCTGTAGTTATTGTTTTGTGACTATGCACTTTGCTCGATCTCCTCGTGATTAGTTCACATTTTTCCACTGCATTGACTATTGTTCCATTGTGTAGATTTGTACAGTCTATCGATTATCTCTTTCATAAAATGTAACTTCTTGTAACTTTTATGGAGAGTGGTACCAGTTAGCTTTCATCTGATCTTAGCTATCAGGTTACTGGTGCACTAGATACTTTGAGCGTACGCGTTTTAATTCGATAAATATGAAATCTTCTATACTAGTAACTGCTCTTGAATTTGGTTACTACAGGATATCTAAATAACAACAAGTAATCATGTATCTATAACGTTTGGTCGCTAATAGCTCTCCAGAGCTCTTCGGATATTATTTCGTTGATGTAGATCTATAGTATCAAAAATAAAATTCCCTTCCTTCAACACTGTAGGATCACCAAATGAGTTCCAAACGGCCTTCACGTCCTGAAGCCATTATTAATATATTTATTTATTTGTTATATGCACTCAAGGTGCGCCATTTAAAAGAAAGGACGCCGAAACACAAATACAAACTTTAGTCAGTAACACAAACTGGGTAGAACTTGCTACCTGCTGACCAGACTTCTATAGTTGATAAGAGTGGGGTTCAAAAAAAGCCAAGGTAAGAAGAATCACATCAATTACCATAGTATAGTAACGCCGTTTCGTCATAATACATAGAAACGGCAGTGATTCATCAGCTACAATATACTACTCACAAGGAGAGGATACTTAGTCGAAAGCACCAATCCAGATGAGACACATATCGTCTTAAAGCGCTTAAAACGCTGATTCCAAATCTGTAGTACATAGCAGCGGAGCGGTTTTGTAGAAGGAGTTATGAGGGGTGTTTCCCTTTGCGGTTGAGGCGCCTCCAGCAGGTCTCCCCTTACCCTACTGGTACCAACTGGTAGCAACTGGCTAGTGGTAAGTAATTTGAATGAAGATTACATTAAGGATTATAATACTTGTATTACTTTAATTTTTTAACACTTCCAATTTCAATTAGCATCAATATCATCCGAACTTCCAGGCTTTGAGGCTCTAGAGCCATTTAAAAGCTCAAGGATTGTGATAAAGTTGCATGCGAAGGGGATTAAAACCTTGACTTTCTCTTTATCAAGCAAAGCACTTATCATAGGCCACTTGCCACCAGTTGCTACTCCTCTACTGTGCTCATAGGTAAGGGGAGACCTGCTGGAGGGCGCCTCAACCCCAAAAGGAAACACCCCTCATAACTCCCACAAAACCGCTCCGCTGCTAAAACTACAGATTTGGAATCAGCGTTTCAAGCGCTTTAAGATGATATGTGTCCCATCTGGATTGGTGCTTTCGACTAAGTATCCTCTCCTTGTCAGTGCAGTTTCTTAGATACCTTACCAATTGAGAAGATTTTTTCATCATTAGCTTCAATCTAGGCATTCAAAAATGTTGTAGTGTGCCGTAGTGCCCAAAATAACGGATGAAGATTACAGATAAAGTTCCAAAGCTTAATTGCAACCACGAGGAATTGCGCATTATATACTGATTGAATCAGAGGTGGTAATAGAATTTTACAAGCAACCTAGTCTTTGCTACCAATACACTTTGGTGCACTGCGAGAGAATGAAGAGAAAAATCTCGAACAAACATGATACTACCACTCAGGGACTCGCACCGTGCGGGCGGCCAGCGACGAACTTACAATCGCTCGTTGGTGTGTGCGATTGTACGGTCGTCAAGGGCCGTTAGCACGGTTAACGTGGGGCGCCCGCACGGTTTCTAATGCTCGCCGCTTGCGCGGGGAAGGTCGGCCGCTCGCTTGCTGCTGGAGTAGGTTTATATGGGGTATTTTAACCATTTTTCTTAGGTATGTTAAGCATTTTCACATCCTGGGAACACGGACCAATGCCTGCCGCACTACCCAAACTTTCCATGGAGAGGCCCACACCATCACTCTTGATAACTGTAGCCTTACACAGTTTCATTCCAGCTTTGCGGTGAAGGGAAATGTTGATAACACGATAGTCGACGCTTAGCCAGCCTAAACGCTGCGTCGTATCATGCAGATACCGTTTACGCTCACAGTGTGTGAAAATAATGAGCCGAAGGTAGAGGTCACTGTTGGCCGCTTGCACGGGCAAATGTTTGCCGCCCGATCGAACGGACACATTGCCTGCCGCTTGCACGGTCGATTTTATTGCGTACCGATTGCGCGGCGAGATTGCCTGCCGTTTGTACGATCAAGTGATTGCTGGCCGATCGTGCGGACGCATTGCCTGCCGCTTGCACGGTCGATTTTATTGCGTACCGATCGAACGGGCAGACTGTCTTCCGCTTGCACGGCATTTTTATTGTTGACCGCACGCACGGTACATTGCAGTGCGCTCAGGCGGAGGAGCTTTAATGAGGACCGCCCGCACGGCGCGAATCCCTGAGCAAGTCCTGAGCTTCGCGTATATAAACGTAACACGAGAACAGAAAAATTGACCATAAAGATTTAGGCACATTATATGCAGATCAATCTGCTACATAAATAAATAATCTTGTGAAATTACAGGAAAAAATTGCTTGCTCGTAACTAGTTAAGTAATTAAGCTAGTTAAGTAGCCTAGTAGTCAGTAGAAAACTTGCTCAAAACGAGTAAACTCTGAAATCGTTTTTCTCTTTGTGGCGATCCCGTTTTCGACGAGATTAAGGCCGGATGCCAGCCGTCACGACGCCGTTGAAAATTCATCTCGAAAGCAAGATTCTTGTTTGGAGTGATAAAGACTTTGGGTTATATGCTGTACAATAGCGGTGCCTTTAACAACGCATACGCCCCAAGTTTTGTTACAAATAATCGAAGCTAGAGAATCGTTCCGGGACCTACAAGGTCAAGGTAGCTCCAACAATCAGCGTGGGTGGTCTAATGATAACAGATCCGAAGCTGGGCCCTAATGTGCCTATAACTGTTACAGATCAGTTCCACTTTGTGATTATCAGATTTTCGATATCTCTATCTTGCCTGAGGCTCACTCCCAAGCTCATCACCTTTAGGAAACCCACACTGATGGCCGGAGCCATGAGCCGCTTTAACCATGGAGTAATTTTCTCGCTTCAGAGTTCATCTTCTGCAGGCACTCAATCATTAAGTAAGGGGCCCTCCTACTATACAACATCAAAATCACCACCTTCGATTTGAGTAAACGGACCATAGTTGTTGACTGAGTTCTTTGTCGGATAACGATTTGGCTTGATTACTAGTGAAACGATGACTATGATTAATTAACAAGAAATAGAAACGCAAACAATGATAATTTCCCATTCTCGATCTGGCTGGTTATATGAAAGTAACAAAGGAAATGGCTTTTGCGAATAAGAACTGAATGATTTGACGAGGTAGAGTGCTTTCAAACAACAATGATCAACGATGAATAGACGCCACAATGTCAAAGTTGCCGATTTCCAAAAGATGCGTATCGTTAGCAAAAGTGGAACGCCAATTTTAAACTGACCAAAAGCTTTTTACATAGGAAGGGAACATTAACGCAAAGGCAATAGTGTATGATATAACATTCAAACTTCTTCAAACTATTTTGGAGGACCTGTAAAACAGCAGAAGATTCTTACTTTGCAATATGAGAAAGATAAACACTGACAAATTTATTTAGTAGCAAAACAAAACCAAAAATCATATTTCAGTCTATGAATCCCGAAGTTGGGGATTAGAGTAATTTGCAATTGGATGGATAGGGCGTAAAACAATTTATAAGATGGAACACAAAAAGCTTGAGTTTACGTGCAGAGAAAACATGACATATACTCCGTCTTAGAACTGCTCGAAACTATACCTACTAATCTGAAAAGTATGACAAAGCTGTAGAGATTTTGACGCCTGTCCTCTTAAATGCAACACTGACATTTTGGGGGCTCATCGTATTTAATTCGCAATCACTGCTCAGTTCGTAATTGCTTCGAATGGTCATCTGCGCATTTCAGCAGTTGCAACATAATTGCACGCTTAAAGGACCTTATACAGGCTTTCGTTGAACGAAAATAATAAGTCTTTCATTAGCAAATTTGAGCATCTAATCAATTTTTTGAGAAAGCTACCATTATTCTAGAAGTGTCTCACTACATTATCCCAACACTTGCTAAAAATACTATTATCCATCCACGGTTTTCACTTCAGAAACTCCGAATGTTTTCAAAATCGTTGATTCAATGAATCAAGGCGAAAATCGATAAAGCTGGGTAGAAGCCTCAAAGCACGTGTAAACTGCAGTGACCACAGTGCAAACTATTTGTGAAAAGTTGAAAAGGACTGACTTATCACACAGCCTGATAATATCTAGAATATAAAGAAGCAACCTGCTAACTTTCAAAGCGTTAATGAATTTGAAAAGAAACGGCTTTTGCCTTATAAATTGAATTACTTCAACTCATTATCAAATTGCTCATAATAGTCACCATAATCAGTGCCATCATCATAGTATATCACACCATTATCACCCAAAATAACACTTAAATGCTGATCGAAAAACCTATACTTTCCATCGCCCAAGTCCTTCATGTATTTCTCCATTCTCTGGAACCACGCGTCATAGTCTTCGTCAATGACATTGTTTTCGATTTTCCTGTTTTCGGTTTTCCACGGGTAGTCCTCATCCCAGAGATTCCATCTCTTCCCAGTTGACTTATATTTTTTCCATATTCCAGCGACGGGTAATGCTTCAATAAGGATGATTATCTTAAAAGGCTTTGTAAATTGAACAAGTCTGGCTGCATGACGTCAACTCACGCTCAGCAGAAAATGCTGCATTCGCAGATAATTTGACCAAACCTCAGCTACTCTATCACTACTCAAACAAATTTGTTTGAAAAACGCACTAATCCTCTAGCTGCTAAAAGTAAACTGAATCTCATCAATAAAAGTGCACCACATTACAAAGAGATATTCGTTGTGCAAGGTGAGCGAAGAACTTTGCGCCATGACTTTGCTGTTCCAAGAGACGCGCTGGGAGAAATTCGTTATATTCCACAATCTTATGAACAGACCGATTAGATTTTAGCTATAAGCTCGACAGGTGGAGTCTTTTGAGCTTACAACGCTTTAGATGCGTGTCACAATTGATCAGCAGCGTAATATTGTGGACAACAAATTGGACAAATATTTCGATTGGAACACTTGCGTTAGTGAATTGGAGTTCGTCGTGCTCGCGTTTTATTGCGCATGTTCTCAAGCTATGCTGTGCTTGATTGGTTCTCAATTGCATTAGCAAAATTCCTCGTTCAACTTACTGCACTTCAAACAATTAGAGTTTTTTCATTAAGTACTCCGACAATAATATCGAAATCGAGGACAACAATGCTCCCTTTTGTACGTGTACTTCTTCTTTCCCCTTCCCTACCCCACTCCCAGCTTCCAATAAGGGCGTTGATATTTCCTCTTTCTCTAATCTTTTCCATGTTTTCACAAAGAAAGAGCACAATCGAGAATTGCTTCCAATGCACAGGATTCTTGTGATTGTCTGTTATTCTTGGATCGGGATGACAGCTTTCTTAAAAGTTAGCGTCGATGTTATCGTTAGAAAAACATCAATTCGGAGTGGTCAGCAAAATCAGGAAAAACAAACACTAACGATAGCCGCTTTGAAGAGTTCAGGTGGTATGCTGCTAATGAGCACTTCGAAATGCCCCTTTGACTCAACGATATTGGCGACTGGAAAGCGACTGCTCGCGTCCGCGACGCAAGTCTGCGTCTCCCTCGCGGACGTGCCCTCTTGTCATTTTCTAGCCTTAATCAAGTCACGAAGCCCCGCCTTCCAGCCGTCATTTCAGTTGAATCAAAGGACAGTCTGGTCATTCATAGTCATAGCATGACATGGATTGAGAACAAACTGACATTGCAGACTTCACGATTTCTCTTCCAAATGCTTCTGCAAATATTGTTTGATTCAGAGTTCTCGCTTTTGCGCCAATATTTGCTGCCGTCCGTGGTTCGAACAAGGTACAAAAGATTTGGAGTGAAACTGCATCACGAGTTTTTGAAGTCCTTCATTGCAAAAAGTTATGAACATTTTGTGGAGTTATACTTGTTCTACGATCCCAAAAGTTTTAGGAGCGATAATCGAGATCTTGTCTGTAATCAAGTCTGAATCCATGTTCCTGTCGTATCACTTTTTCAATGGCAACATGTCTAAACTGACGTAGCCTGTTTATGTGCTCATTTGTAAGCTTACTTCATTGTGAACTGTGACTGTGGCGTCACAGCCTCAGACGCTTCAAAGCAGGTTTTCTCCTGGAATACCTGTCACAGCATTTATGGTTACCCTAAAATCCGTCATATAAGATCGGCTCGCAGTAAAGACCGCCTCGCCGATAAGACCGCAAAAGTGCTCTCAGTTAAGTCCGCTTTCGTGACAGCCTCGCGCGCCTCGCGCGCCGCCAAGTCCCGCGGATAAGTCCGCCTTATTTTTTTCACATGAAAACAAGAAGGATGCGCAATTGCGCTGCCTTTTTAGCTCTCAGAATGAACCGAAGCAACAGATCTTTATTCAGGTAGCATTCCATGTTCATAACAAACATTCATGGCAACAACTTGACCAAAAGAACGACCATCATTATCGTTATTATCAGCAACAATCAAAGCGTCGAAATCCTCGTTCATGCCTTCTATTATTGATTCGTCATCGAGAGCCTTGGTGAAACTGTTCGCAATGGTTTCTTCGCCTCAGAGATAAGTTCTTTCTCTTCATAAAGCCTTTGCACCACATCGCCGATGCCCTGAAGTCCTGGTGGCCAGATTCCCGCGCTAACTGCAATGCCTTCTCGCGAATGTCTTTGACAAGCACTGCTCGGCTTCCTTCTCGCGTCTGCACAATCCATGCATAGAGAGCTTCCTCTATTTCCTCCACCTTTGGCTTCCCATGACGGTTGGCGCGTCTCCTCAGTGGCATATCCTCCAGATTTTCTTTATCGGCCTTCCATCTTCTAACCAGACCATCAGAGACTTCGTAGCGAACAGTGGCAGCCGATGTTCCATGTTCCAAGGCATATTGCACCACGTTAAGCTTAAAAAGCGCGGTGTAGGACTTTCTTCTGATAGCCATTGAGATGCGAGACACCTGAAAAGCTTAAGTCAAAGCATGTGAGACTATGCTGGAAATATAGGGCCCCGCGTGATTGTGAACTTCGCTGAGTTACCGGTCATTGCACACTGGAATCACGCGGAGTCCTATAAATTTGCGCTGGTCATCGAAAGGTTTACTCTTTTATACAAGGAAAAGCAGGCGGCATCAAATTTGACTACACTATCTTTTGTCTTGGATGTACAGGCTTAATGAAACAACAATTGAGGAAAATAACAAGGAAGCCTAATGCTTTGCTAAGGTTGAGCATTCTCAGACTGTCACTCTTCCGTTCAAGAAAGCATTTGACAAAAGCCGTATGGCATGGGTCAACAGAGACTACATTCAGAACATGAAAACAATAGAGGAAGCAAAAGTGTAGGAGTCAGGTTCAAGGGTTGTAGCCTGTACGGGTTCGAGAGATGTAGTGAAAACATTGTCGCCTCCAAAACGATAAGATGAATGATAAGTTGAGATGATTGCAATGATGCAATGATGAAACCTATTATGATTCTTTTCATTGGCAGAAATCGCTCAATTTCATACAGGTGTCATATATAGGAAAAGAACTCACCTATCCAGCGTACGCGATGAAGAATCCGAGACGACCACCAAGTAGACTGTACGACTTGTCGAATCCTTGAGCTCTTTCTTTCAGGCGATATCGCGGCCTCATTTAAATCTACAATGGCAAGCCACGCGAGCGGTCGCGCGCGTCTGTGCTCCTAGGTCGCGCTTGCTCATGCTCAGGACAGACGGACGTATCTGCGAGACGATTTAGGCGGACTTATCTGTGACACCCTTTGCGGCGTTTTTCCATCGATTTTCCTGCCAAAACTGCAGATAAGTCCGCTCTTATATGACGGATTTTAGGGTAGTTCAGTGCAATGCACTGTGTTTACGCTACGAGTGACATATATTTGCTTTCCGCTTGATGGCCGTGGAATGATGCCGATATGCTGTGAAATGAGCTAAGGGGCCATGATTTGACCCCTCTTATGCTTCACGTCTTACAAGGTAAGCTATTGATGTACAATCATGACAATCATATGTCCAAAACCGCGGAATCTGCGGGATTCGCGGTCTTAGAACATTTGATAGTTTGTCGCACCTCTTTTAGACGTTAAAGTCTGCTAGATTTGATAGTCTACCAAAGCTAAATTTTAATGTTTTTCTTATCCTACTCTTATAAAATGTAAAATACAGTAAAATCAGATGCGCATCGAGTAGATCTTGCAGTTCCAGAACGGAGATTGTGCCTCAGACATTTGCAATCTGGACTACTGCGGACTTGACAACTTAGCAGTTGGCTCTGCACCAAACTCGAATACTGTTGATGGGATCTCAAACGAAATAGGCTTTGATCACATTAAAGTGATCGAATTCGCGAACACGTAAATCGATCACAACGTTCCCAGTGTCAATACAGGACATTACAGATGCAGCAAATTCCCCCTCTCAAAAAAACTGAACATTCAGCACATGGTCAATGCACTTAATTCTTAACCTTGACATTTCTCTTCGACAAATGTTCGACGCGGCACATTGCTTGGTCAATATGACCGGTTTCAAAGTGCGAAAACTAGCCTCATTCCAGTTTTTTCTTGATCAAATTTCCCGGCTAGCTAATTCGGCGGCAGCGACAACCATTCAGTCGGATCAGATTGGTTGTCTTCTAGACATACCTTTCCCTTTCTCGCTTTGCAAGGAACATTTTGAGTTCATGCAGAATTTGATCGCTTTCAGTTGACTTCCTTATCGTAGATTGTTCTAAGACATTTTTTGTTCATTAAAAATAACTTCCAGACTTTTTCAGTTTCCATTCTATCGGACTAAAGAAAATGATTCTGGTTATTTTTATTTTTCATTCTTTCATGGCTTTTTTTTTCAGCATATAGGAGAAGTTCTTTGATTTTTACATGAACAGCAGGAACAGAAAGAACAGCTTATGAGTTTGAAGCTAGGTTTCGGGGATAAGAGTGAATGAGTCAGATTTTCGCGTCTGTATATAATAAAGCTGTGTCTATTTGTCTGTTATGTCTGTGTGTGTATCTTTTGTGTCATCGATTCTATCGATTTTTCGTAAAGTTAGCTACGGGCTGAGATTTGGCAAAAGGTGGTAAATGAACATGCTGACTAGGAAAGCATCATTGATAGGGCGGAAAGGAGCCGAGTTTGCCAGCTAGTGGTTTAATACCACTGTACTTTCGACTCAAAAGTGGTAAAAACGAAGCATAGAACGGTAGAGGATTTAGGGCTGTTATAAATAGTATATAAGGGAGCAAATAGTATGCAGGAAGATAAAATGCTAATGAGGAATTGGTCAAAACTTGACCCAGCCATTTCAAAGAAGCTGTATATTCTCGGCGCTTTGAAACGCTGATTTTGAATTTATGTTTATTACCTGCCAAACGGCTATCTGGAAGAAGTTACGAGCGTTCAAAATATGAGAAATTATTCAAGTTTCACGAATGTAGTTCGTTGCAAGGCAGCCTGAGGGCGCGGATTTACAGTGGCTATGGTTTTTGATTAGAAGGAGGAACCACATACAGCAAAAACCTAAATAAGTGTTTTGCAAACGTATTTCGTGGAATATGCACTACAGGCTACTTGACAAATCGCACATTCAAGCGCTTTTACAAAACATATTTGAGATTGACGTCTCAAGGCGAACACCGACGAAATATAGCTG